GGCCAGTGGGAGAAAGATGGAACAAAGTGAGAGTTAAGATGCGAACTCTATGGCCAGGGGAAACTGAGTCACGGCTTAGGTACTTGGTGGTGCTCCTGCCAAACTAGAGAGGAGCAGAGACCCACCCATGTTAGAGTAACATCCGTGGCTTTAGCTTTAGGGCCTTTCATTGCCTACAATGACCCTTGTCCCTACTGAAGGCAAAAAATGTCACTTGACTCAGCCATAGCCCTGTCTTCCAGGCAAAACTTGAAGACTTCTTTCCTGGCCACACCCTCAGCTCTGAGAGCCACAGAGCCTCAAGAGAGCCCTAGGGCAGAAGAGATGCTAGGAGAAACACATGTTAGGATTTTTTTTTTTCTTTTAAAGAGGGATGAGGAGGGACAGCAAAGTATGTACTTAGCATGCAGAGAACCCTGGTTCTATTCCTAGTACCAGAACAGAAAAAGAAAGAAAGGAGAAAAATAAAGAAAACTGAAGTTTACTATGGTCATGCACTCAAATCCCAGTAGTCATGGGACAGAGGCAGGTACGTCTCTGGGAGTTCAAGGCCAGTCTGGTCTACATTTGAATTTCTAGACCATACTCTGTCCAAAGTGAGAGGGGGAGGGCAGAGAGAGAGAGAGAGAGAGAGAGAGAGAGAGAGAGAGAGAGAGAAAGAATGACCAAAAAAATTTTAAAAAATAAAAAAGAGCCTCAATTTGTCCTGAACTTGTCCCCTAGCCTCCAGGTATGCACACACACACATACATACACACACACACACATGCACACACACACACAATCATAATTAATCCAGCTTAGTATTGTCTCACATAGTATTAGGCCAATAATAACTTGGTCAACAATGAACTCCAGATCATATTACCTAGTGACATTGTGACCGTGTTAGTATTTGATAGCAGCCCGTGGTATTCACTCATTCACACCTAATGACACATCTCAGAATGTGTGACACATATCTCAGAATGTGTCCCTGTCTGTAAGTGACAAGGACTGCGATATCTGAGTCATTCCTCTGAAATCAAATTTAACAGAGACTGCACTCCAGCTGAATCTGCCTTGATTCTGCTCCAAGAAGAGAGCCAAACACCAGCTTCTGGAATCCAGTGATTCACCCCAAAACAAGTGAAATGATTCACCCCCCCAAACAAGTGATCAGCATTGGCTAGAAACAGAGGGGGTGGTAGAGGAACAGAGATAAGAAAGAAAAAGATGCTTGCAAGTGGCCGTATGTGGGCCTGAAGCTGGAAGGAGCAAGGGACTTTTTTCCCAATCATCTCTGGTCACCATGGAAACCAGCTGTAAAGTCAGCCAAAAGGAGCTAGTGAACCAGTGTCCACACCTGTCTGCTAGTGTGAACTGTCTAAACTCATCTCCCCTATGGAGTAAAGAAGTCACACACTATCCTTGTCAGGTCTGATCTGGTTCCCTTGCCTCAATTTCTCCCCTAAGGTATAACCCACCCTCTTTCTCTCAAGTTTCTTGCTTTTCTGTCCAACCACAACTCCAGATGGCTGCTTTCAATACCACCTTAAAGGGAGGGGTCAGCACACTCCACCTGTCCAGAGGGGAGATTACATTCCAGCCTGAGAGCAGGATGGAGGGAGGGGAAATGACCCCAGGATATGCAGCAAAAAGTGTTTTTAAAATCAAGTTTGACTTTGCCTGACTGTTCATCTATGTATGCCCTTCCCAAGATAAAATAATTCTTTTCTAATCCAGAATGTGATTAAATTGGTCGGGGGAATGTTTAGGCTCTCAGACAAGCCACAGGCAGACCGGCAGTCGGCAGAATACAAAAGCAGAGTCTGAAGTAAGCATTTATTTGGTATTGGAAGCTAGAGGCCCTCTGAAGGAAACATGCAAATTTGTTGAAAATGCTCCTGGTCTCCCGAAGACTTGCTTAAGTTTAGGCAGCGTGAAATGTACTCTTTGAAGGCCCAGCCTGAGGTTTTTGTGCTGTTCTTTAGATGGATCTTACAAACTAATCCTCTCTGGTTGTTTTGTGCCCACTTCTGTCTGTCTTCCTCAGTACACAAGCTGTAAATACTGATTCCATTTTGCAGAAAGGAAAAGTAGTGTAGATTTTGTACAGCTTCTGTGGAAGCATACCAACCCACTTGCAATTGAGGCTTCAGCCAATCTCCCTGCCTAGAGTAGCCAGGCATGCTAATCCCAGTTCTCATCTCCAAGGTCCATTCTGGCTGACGGGAGAGACCTGTAACCTCTCTGTAAGTCACTACCTGGAGTGAGCACTGTCTAACCACTCCAGAACATCCACGTGGTCTTTCTACAGAAAGTGGCACCTCCTCTCTTCCAGGAGCTATCCTTTTCTCCCTTTGAGTCCCTACTTAAAACTTCCTGAATCTCAGTTTCACAAGTCTAAAGCCCTTGCTCAATGGGCCACACCCATCTGTTAAACATTACTAATAAAAGAGTTGACAAATGTCAGTGTGTATACTTAGGAGTTCAGAAGCCTTTCCCAAGGACCAAGAACCCTCAGAAGAATAAGATGATCAAACACTCATTCACAGTGGCACACACTTGCAATCCCAGCACTTGGGGTTACAGAAGGCTCAGAGAAGTACAGGGTCATTCTCAGCTATGTAGGAAAGCCAGCCTGGGCTATAAGAGATCCTATCTTAAGGAAGGAGGAAGAGAAGGGAGAAGAAGAGGAGGAGGGGAAGGCAGAGGAAGAGGAGGAAGTCATTTCCCACTTCTATATTTGGCGTCTTTGCCAATAAACTTTCTGTACTACAAAATTCTAGTTTTTAGTGTTTGGTATTTCCAGTGAAATGGGCTAGTTCACTTACAGGCTGCTATGAAAACTGAGGCAGAGGCCAAGCTCTGGACACAGGCTTGAACACTAGATCTAACATCGTTCCGATTGTCACTGTCATCACCTGGCTCCTGCCTCCCTGAGGAATCTATCCTTTCCTCCAGCATCCTTCTCCTCTTATAGGTGCTCATGTGGCATAAAGTCAATGTCCCCTCTCCTCCTTGAAGGCAATGACCTTGTCTGGCTACCCTGGGAGCCGTACTTGGCTTTGGACCTTACACTTGGTGGGCTCTATGTGCCTTTGCCAATAAATCCTATGTACCAGACTCCAGAGACAGCTGTTTGATGAATGCTTACAGCATGATATAATAACTTAAAATTCACTTTCTAATGTGGCTCTAGAGACAAAGACTGTTTCTGCTAGTGACATCATGTCGGGCTAGTGACACCAATGTCATTAGTAATGTTTATGTCAGGCAAGTATCCTTGGCCTGAACCTATGGGAAAATAGTCCAGAGTCCTACTGTAGTCGATAAGCACTGCCTCCCATTGGGAGGGGGCTTGGCAGATGATGTCTCTTTAGGACACAGTTGTGTTTCATTTATGTCTCCAATGTCTCAGGGAACAGTTTTGGATAAACTATTACTTCCTTTGAGATGACACAAAACTAAAAGTGTTGTAGGGGACACCTAACTCAGAAGAAGTCACCTCTTGGATCTTTTATCCCTGGCTTCACTGAAAAGAGCAACGCTCTAGTGAAGAAAAATTCTAGAATGTTCTGCAGGTCCAAGAGCTATCCAACACATGACCCTTCTTACATGAAAGATGTTTCCCTCTCTATCTGATAGCCTCCTATATTTTTGTTCAAGACCCCACTTATAATACATTCTCTATCTCATCTTCCAAAACAGATGTTACTGTACCTTGAAGATTTTTTTTAATCTACACTATGCATATTCACAAGTTCAAGGCAACCAGGAAAAGGTGGTCAACTCTTTTTTTTTTTTGTACCTGCAGTAATAGGATCTTCAGAAACAGAGGAACTGTGTATGGTAGGTCAAAGGCCATCAAGTGTGTTTTGGGTTTTATGTTTTTACCTGTGGCAGACCATGCACTGGAGATCACATGGACAAGGAACAGGAAGGTAGGCAGCTGGCAGCTGAGAACCCACTCCCTAAGTTGTCCTCTGACTTCCACATGCACCATGCCTTGAAAGTGCCCTCCAATACACACACAAACAAATAGTTTGTATTTTTTAACAAACTGATAGCCAGTCATGAACTGGAGTCCATCTTGGAGTACATAGTGAGCTGGAAGCCAGTCTGGCTTATATAACAAGATCCTGTCTCAAAAACTAATCAATTAAATGCTAGAAATCCTCTACACACAAACCAAGGTCCGGTCTTTCTGTAGGGATGCTTCTGAACAGAATTTACAGGGGTCCTGAAGGGTAAGTGGGGAAGCTTAAGGCAGGAACTATACAGAAGTCATAGTGTTTCATCTGTAAGTCCACATCCCAACACACACACACACACACACACCACTGCCACTCATAAGCATAATCTTAAATCCTTGGGCTTCTCTGGGTTTAGGTTTTTGTTTTACTTTAATTATTTGTTTACTTAGTTACTTAGGCTGGTCTCAGATTCCTTATATAGTGGAAACTAGTCTTCACTTTTCAAGCGCTGGGAATGTACACCCAGTTAGTGCTTTTTAGTTTTAGCTGTTAAACACCCTACTGGAAGCTAGAACACGATTCGAATGCCCCTTTACTGAAAGATGTGAGCAATTTAACCAGCTGGGATCCCTAGAGACATCTCTCCCAGGCCTCCAGTTCTCTGGAGATCATGGAGAAAGGAGATTCCCACGCTGTAACTATTACCCAGTAGCCAGTCTCAATCTCTCAAAACTGTTTACAAAGTGCTCTAAGTTCGCCTAAGCATCTCTACATGACCCCCAAGTGCCCATTTTACAAACCGGGAAGCCAAGGGGCTGGGAGTGTGCGCTGCAGAAGTACAGGGCTCGTTCAACACGCATGAGACACTAGCAGTGCAGAAAAGAAAAAGCCGAGTAAGGGAAAAGAAAAGAAAATCTGGTGGCCAACCCGGGAGCCTGCACTCTGCTTCTCCAGTCCTCTACCTCAGACCGGCGGCAGCTCCGGGGCGGGGCTAGCGGGAGTGGGGCGGGGCCAGTGGGGTCATGTGACTCCCGGCCCGGAAGCTCTTGAGTAGGGGACGCCACATCCCGGGTGACCCGGGTTGGATCTGCTGCTTCAAGTGGTCTCCCGTGTCTACCACTATGGCCTGGACCAAGTACCAGTTGTTCCTGGCTGGGCTCATGCTGGTCACCGGTTCCATCAACACGCTTTCGGCAAAGTGAGTCTGGGTCAGGCCGGGAGGGACCTGTTGGGCCGGTGGGTGCGAACACCCGGCGCCCTGTCCCCCGACCGTCCGCTACTCTCCAACCCCACCTTACCACATTACTGAGAGCTCAGTCGCGCTGGTGTGGACGAAGGGGTGAGAGGCCGGGAGAAAGTGGGCATCTGAAGGCCACTTTGATTCGCGGTCACTTCTATCTCCAAGCCTCAGTTTCCTCATCTTTAAACCGAAGGGCTGGATCAGTTCCTCCCCGTGTCGCTCTTGGCGCTGTGGTCAGAAACTGAGAGACTTCCTGCAGGAGCTGGGGGCCTGCAGAGGAAGCACCGGTGCTCCTGGAGTGGCCGAGCTGAAGGGATGGGCAAGCCAGGAGAAGGTGGCCATGGGGCTGCTCATGGGGAAAGAAAGGGATTAGACTACATCTTGATGTTTAGTTGGGACGCTTATGTGGCAGAGGTTTGGAGGCACGAAAGAGAAAGGCCAGCTCCAAGTGGCTTGTTCACAGCATCAAATGCCCAGCTGGACTTTTTCCCTCCAGAATCAGAGGGCACACCGACCTGAGGAGTGACTTGTTGAACGTGGGAGAATTGGAAAAAGAATCAGTGTGGCAAACGCGAAGGTTTGCGTGAGGGTGGGAGCCACTCTGTGGCTCTGCTTACAGATGAGAGAGAACACCTAGCAGGTGCCATCGAGAGAGGCGTGGGTGGGGGGTAGGGGGGAGTGTACAAACCAGTCTCAAAATGAAGCCACAAGGCCGACTGACCCACAGGATCAAAAGAAAGTGTCTATCTGGGAAAGGGGTCCTTAACACAAATCAGAAAGGTAGCTGGATACTTCCGCTCTGGTGTGGGAGTCACAGTCTTCAGCAGGTTGGGAGCTAAGGCCCATGCGTCACCAAGCTGAGAAATCCAACATGGTCTCCTCCATTATAGGTCTCTCCTTTAACTTGACAGTTCTTTGTCACGTTATCTGCCTCCACCTCAGAGCAAGGCCTTGCTGCATCTATTTGCACCCAAAATTCTCAGTGTGCCGGGCATCATCTGTCCTTTGTCCAGTGTGCACGTGGGCAACAGTGAACAATGTTCCTCTCCAAGTCCAGCCTCAGATTCTTACTGGGCCCAGCTAGGAACGAGAGTTGGTGTGGTGGCTCCAGTAAAAGGCCTCCAGGACTGCGCTCTGGGTTTCCTGGGCTTCTGTGCATTGAGAAACTGGCTGTAAGCCTAGTGTAGCCATTTCTTATTTACTTCTCAGGTTTCTTGTGTCTAACAAAGTCCGTCAAAGCTGTTAAGTGCCCAGGAGAGAGGTGGGCACTCGCCAGGTAAGATACCTACAGTGTGGGAGAGAAAAAGTGGCCAGGTGAAAGAGACAGATGTGTACATGTGTGCCAGTCACAATGGGCCCCCTCTCTTCCCCTAAAGGAGGGCACAATCTATGGAACCCAGAATAGGACCTATGCAGTTCTTGGGCTTATCTCTGGGGAAAGAAAGGGATTAGACTACATCTTGATGTTTAGTTGGGACTCTTATGTGGCAGAGGTTTGGAGGCACGAAAGAGAAAGGCCAGCTCCAAGTGGCTTGTTCACAGCATCAAATGCCCAGCTGGACTTTTTCCCTCCAGAATCAGAGGGCACACCAACCTGAGTGATTTGTTGAACATGGGAGAATTGAAAAAAGAAAGAATCAGTGTGGTAAATGCTGGTCTTGTGATGAGATTCTCACACTAGCCAAGGACTGCTCCTAGCCTGTCCAGGCTGCTGTCCCCAAGGAAGAATCCAAATGGTCATTTACTGCTTAGATAAACCATGCTGACTCAGTCTTTCCTTTGAAAACCTCCAAACCGGTCAGGTAGGAAGCCTGGGGAGCCTCAGTCCCAGGAAGCCCCACCCTTTAAGGCTGTCAGACAGTCAGGAGGACTCCCCCGTGAGTGTCTTAACCTTTGATCCCATCCTTAGCCCATCACCTTTTGTGTGGCCTCTCAGGAGCCCTACCTCCACCCCCATCCTGAGATGGGGCCTAGAGCTGGACTAACCATTGTTCTAAAGCAAACAGTGAGGAAGAAGGCTGAGGGAAGCAGCCAGCTTACCAGGATGTGAGATACTGGTTGAAAATGGCATGGCTGGCCTGTGGTTCCCACTAGGTACAAGCTACGGCAGCCAGGGCCGCCAGTGCACAGCACCCAGGCCTACCAAGTTACAGGCCATCTGCCTTGGCATCCTTTCATGTGATCTCAGGGAGGAAAATAGACGGGTTCATCATCCCTAGATGGGAAACTGAGGCACAGAAAGGTTTAGTCATGTGCAACTCCAGCTCAGTTCCCAAGTGATGACTTCATTCTGAGTCCAAGTGTTCCAATCCTAGAATCCATGCCCTAACCTCCAGTTAGGGCAGATGCCTCACTATTTGTTTTGAAGACTAGTTGGTTATGGTTATCTATTTATCTTTTGAAACACAGTTTCACTGTATAGTCCCTAGCTGGCCTTGAACACAGCTTCCTGCCTTCACCTCCCAAGTAATGGGTTTACAGTCATACACCACCAAGCCCGTGGACATTTCGTTATTGTTAAGAACAGAAATCATCCAGTCTGATTCCTACAATTTGCAAAAGAAGTTGCTTTTTTGTGACTTGGCTTACTGATGTCAGGAGGGATTGGTACCTAGGCCTCGATGTCAGTCCCATCCTAGTCATTAGGACTGCCTCGAAGTCCTGACTCTGTGGGCTTCCTATGTCCTCACTGTGTCTAGAATGGGTAATCCTATCAATGTCATCTTCTACTACCACCCCCACCTTCAGGGTTCCCCCTTATGGGACTAGACAGCAAGCCTCATCCAGGTCCAGGAATCCTGTCCATCTTCCCTCTTGCTCACCTTAGGAGCCTCTGGCAGACCTGGGCAGTGTCTCCTGTGTCAGGAGCTCATTGCTGCCTTTAGAGTCCCCGAGGAGATTGGCAACTTCAGATGAGGAAGTGCTGCCTACTCTACAGGGACCACAGGTCAGCTCTCTTCTGCCCACTCAGCATGCTTTAGAAGACCACAGAGAGCTATCACATGCACGTGGGGAGAAAAGCCTTGAATAATCCTACACCCCTCTCTGAGCGTGGGCTCAGGTCCCCTCCCTGGAAAGTTTTGCTTCTCCTTTCAGTGGCTGTTTCCTTCTGCCCTCACCAGCCACTTCTGCTGACCATATTCTTGAACCAGCATGTCTGCCTGGTTCAGTGCCCATGGCCGGTTTCAGAGCCTCCCTGTCCAGATGCAGCCAAAGTTCTCCACAAGAAGAACCAAAGTCAAACAGACCCTCAAAGCTCCCTCCTAAGCTCCAAAGCACCTCACCTCAGCTTCTGGGGGTTGAAGAGCCTACCCATCCAGAGAGGGCTTATGAGTCTGGCTTACCTCTACCTGTGGGCAGGAGACCCTGTGTGGCATCACCAGGCCTCTGTTAGAGAAGAAGCTCCCATTGTCCCTTCACCTTTTGTCTTTGGGACCTGCCCTTTGGGTTCTGTGAACTGCTTGGCATTGTTGCTTCAGCATGGCTACAGGACCAGCTTGAGAGAGCCAGTCAGGAGGCCAGTGCAGTGATGGAGACATGAGGTATGGAAGCTGCAGGAAAGTCTTCTCCCCAACAGCAATGGGAGGGCTCACCACCCATGTATCCTCTCATGGGGAAATCACAGCCCTCCTGAAGACTCCCTGGATGAAACAAAGAAGCTATCTCACTATTGGACAACAGTGCATTCAGGAGGCAGTGGTACCAATTATGCAGGAGTCAGCAGTGACTGAACATTTCAGACATTTCTTCAGTCTCTGTCTCTCCTGGGTGCACAACTTGAATGCTGAGCTTTGAGTGTGGTCAAGGAAAGCCTCCTGCAAGTGACTCATCACCCGGCAGAGTTAGTCACCCCAAGCCTGCCTGCTGACACTCAGGGAACACTGAGAGAAGCTGGCCTCTGCCAGCTGAGGGTATACCCTCCAAGGTTTCACATTAAGGTGTCTAGAGAAAATGGAGGCCCATCTGCAGGGCTGGCTCTCTCCTCCCCTCAGGAGGAACAGTCTAGAGTAAGAAGGTTGGCACAGAAACTGCATTTCTAGTACCAGCCCTGGCTACTAGTCCTATTGTATATTGTGAGTCCTGTGGCCCATCTTGGACTGTAGATATCTCCATCTGTCAAATAAGGGGTTTTTTGCAGGATGATAGCCACGTTTATTTTAGTTCCACATGTCACGGCTGTGGAACTTTGGCGACACCACGCAGAACCCCTTTAGCCTCATCTGTCTCAGGTAGCACTGGATAGTCAGAAATTTCATGTGCTGTGTTTCATACAAAAGAAAAGAGCCAAGGATATGTTTATTAGAAGAGTGGTATGAGGTGCGAGGGGTTCCTCGGTGAGCCCATGCCCAGGCATCCCTTCCCCTGGGGTACCAGCCATATGACGGGTATAGTGTAGAATAGAGTTTATTTAGGGTATGGGGAAGGGAGTTGGAAAGGGAGGAAGGGGGAGAGGAGAAAGGGAAAAGGGGTCAGGGAGGGAAGAGAGTCAGAGACTAAGAAAGCAAACCAGGCCTTTTGCCAGGTAACTGTGGGGCAGAGCCTAGAAGGAATGCTACCAGCTCCCCCACGAACTTGTAATCCAAAGCCCAGGGAGACTACACTGACCCCACCCAAGGGAAGGTGGTTCTAGATGCCTGGGGAATGGGAAGGGAAAGGGACATGAAAGGGTGTGTGTACTGAACACCCCAGAGACCTGGCTTATAGGGTTTGTATTAGCTACTACTTTTGACACTTGTCAGCGTTGGCCTGGGAATCTCTGGAACCCATCTGGTTCCGGATGTGTGATCAAACACTGACCATCTGTGTGTCTGTGTTTCTGATAGTAAACTGCAGCAGGCCTTACCACAGGTGTGCACATTGTCACCTAGGAAAAGCCAAACTTCTCTCTGCACCCTGAGCCTGAGTCGCCCTCTGAAAATGATGGTCCTTATAAGGTTTAATCAGACTACCTGTGGAGTGTGCTCTGCACAGGCCTAGCACAGGCACTGCTCAAAGAGTTGCCTGTTAAGAAACCATGTTTGTGGTGGTGTGTGCCTTTAACTCCATCAGAGCCAAGTGGATCTGTGTGAATTCAAGACCAACCTGGTCCTCATTGTGAGCTTTTAGCCAGCATGGGCTACATATTGGGATCCTGTCTCAAAGGAGAAAAAAAAGTCTTTGGGGCTAGAGAATTGTTGGGGAAGCACGGCCAGGCATCAGAGGGCCATCTGACTTTAAGGGTCATAGCTGCCATCCTCAGACACTTTGAAGATGGATTTGGGATCTTGTCTGTGAAACATGCAGGTGAGCCAAGACCCCTGCTCTTGTCTCCTCCCAGACCTGAAGACATGCACTGGGCTGGTAGCTGGCACCTAGTCCCTAGGTTGGATAGGTTCTTGGATACAAAGAGATCCCATTTCTCTAGTCGGAAGCCAGCCAAACAATACCTGTCCAGACAAACCAGGCCTACCTTGTAGAGAAAGCCTAACCACTCTTAAGGAGAAAGTCTCAGCTGGGCAGCCAGCCAGCTAACTCCCCACAAGACAGGCCCATACTGTTCCTGTTGCATCAGCAGGGGCCACCTCAGACCTGTGGGAAATCAGTCTCACGGACACTGGGCCTGGGGCCAAAGCACCTATCACGTTCACAAGCTAGGGTCTGGAAGGCTCAGTCACTTGACAGAGCATCGGGCTGTGCAGGGAGCAGCGGGTGGAGAGTATGGAAGGACTTCTGCTAAAGTGATTCAAACCTCAACGAGAGTGGGACCAGAATAAGCATTAGATATGAGCTGCACAAGCAGCCCAGGGTGCTTCTGGGTAATGGCCACACTGCTAGATCCAGGTCTAGAGAGTCTTCTTAAGTGTTAGTCTGTGGTCTTAAGGTCCAGGATGAGAAATTTACTTCCCTTTTGTGCATAGGTGGCAACAATTCAGAATGATAAGTGTGGCTGCCCGAAGTGTGCTGGGAAGAGTTCTGGGCTGGATGGGGACCAGTTCCACCACTGGTCTCTGTCTATGGTGGTACTCATTGGCATGCTACTCCATGCTTTAGGTATTAGAAGGGCCTTCCCAGCTGTGAAGGACCCAATGATCTCCTGGGCCAGAGTTGGTTGGATGGATGGTAAGTGGGTTGGCTGGTTGGGTGGGTTGGTTGGTTAGTGGCAGGTCTCTACACATAACCCAGGCTAGCCTCAAACTCACTGTGTAGCTCAGACTGATCTTGAGATCACATCAGCCTTGGCCTCTTTAATGCTAAGCTTACAGATGTGTGGCCTCATGTCCAGATGACCAAAGACTCTTGAGACTTTTCGTGCACTGGTCCCTTCAACAATCCAAAGATTTCAAAAGATGCCAAACAAGTTACAGTAAAGTTCTCAGACATTAGAAAGCAACTTCGCTGCCAATCTTGATATGTGCCCGTAATCCTAGCACTCAGGAACTGGAGGCAGGAGGATTTCAAGTTTAAACCTAGATTATATAGTGAGACCGTGTCTCAGGAAAAAGAAAAGGGGAGGGAGGACTCTCTTTTTTTACCATGTGTGTTTAATACACTACATTTTTAGCAGTGGCTTTAATTTTATTTCAAGGAGTAATGAATGTACCATGTTTAATATAAACAACACTGTTGTAATAATATCTGATTTCTACAAATTGCAGAAGCGCAACTGCTGTGACTGTGTCCATACGTTGATGAAATATATTTTTAAACCCTTCACCATGGAGACAGGCGCCTCTGAAGAGCAGTGTCATCTGGGGCTGACTGTGAGTCCAGCCAGGTGAGAGTCCATCAAGCTGCCAGTCTGAGCTTCCCTCTCTCTGCTGCAGGTGGGCTGACAACTTCGTAGCTGAGGGCTGTGGAGGAAGCCAGGAGCACTACTTCAAGCATCCCTTCGTCCAGGTACCAGCATTATCCTCCTGCTAGTCTCCCAGGCTTTATCCAGGCTCCCCTGCGGCTAGTCTCTTTCCTGGCCTAGAGATGAAGCTACCCTAGTTCCCCAAAAGCTCTCCCAGAATAGAGCCAGAGTCCCAAGAGCACCCCTGGATGGATGGTCTCACTGTGTCCCATCTGGACACGTGGAGACACTAGGTCCAGTGAGAAGAGTGTCTTGTACATCTCCCTTGAGCACAGAACTTCTCAGGCATGGGGATAATGAAAGGTACCCCATTTCTGGTCTGAGAGTTGGAAGACTCAGGATTATTCCCCAGCATGACCATCTGCCCTTCCATGAGCCTTTGACCTGAGTCTGTTTCTGTATCTGGATTGGAAAAGGTCTGCCTAATGAGCTGATTTTACACTGTGCCACACCCCATAGAGTGTCCAGTGAGATGTTCTAGGGCCCCTGTGACAGGCCTGGTGGCCTAGCTGTCCTCCCAAAGCTGTTCTCCCTTTGTCCATAAAACATTTTGGGGTCCTTCATAAGCTCTTGTCTAAAGTGCAGTTATATTAAAACAAAACACAGTACCACTAAAGGTGACTCCAAGACCCTCAGTGTGGATTCCTTGTGTCCTGTTCCTGCAGGCAGTGGGCATGTTTCTGGGAGAGTTCTCCTGCCTCGCTGCCTTCTACCTGCTCAAATGCCGAGCCAGAAGACAATCAGACTCCAGTGTAGAGCCCCAACAGCCCTTCAATGCCCTACTTTTCCTGCCCCCAGCCCTGTGTGACATGACAGGAACCAGCATCATGTACGTGGGTAAGTAAGTAACTTGGCCAGTGAGGCCATACTTAAGGGACTCCCTGTGAGACAGCATCACCAGTGACACACTCACTACTGCTCCCCCACAGAACTCATTTGTGCATCTCCAAGACTTAGTAAGGGCAAGCTCATCTTGTTCCTACTCCCTGGGGACATCTTGGTGGCAGCTAGCCTTTGCCCTTAACAGCTAATAATCAGGTCTCTCCTTTACTAGCCCTGAACATGACCAGTGCTTCAAGCTTCCAGATGCTGCGGGGTGCAGTGATCATCTTCACAGGCCTGTTCTCAGTGGCTTTCCTGAACCGGAGACTGGCACCAAGCCAGTGGCTGGGCATCCTGATCACTATTGCAGGACTGGTGGTAGTTGGCCTGGCTGACCTCCTGAGCAAGCATGACAATCAACACAAACTCAGTGAAGTAATCACAGGTGAGGCAGCTGCTCCTCCTGTCCCCTCCCCTCTGGAAGCCTACAGAAAGTTACCCCACAGATTCATCCAGGCTCTGCCATCAATGTGTCCTGGGTTGGGTCATATACCAGCCCTTGATGGGTAGAAGTGTGAGGGAGAGCAGAAGATGGAGACTGGACCAAGGAAGAGAGACAGACGAGCAGCATGAGGAGGCTGCCTAGTCCTGTGGCTCACATTCATTCACAAATACAAACTCCAAAATCCACTTTGGAGTGGAACAGAAGGGCCAATCATGACACATGCCCAGCCCCAAGCATTTCTTACCACAGTAAGCCAGACCCAGCAGGAACTACTGTAGCACACTCTACACTGCCATGACCACCTGAGTCAGTCAGCTTCACATATAAACCTGAAGTGTCTTGTCTCAAGCCTGTTGCTCCCTGCAGGACCTGCCCACCACAGATGCAGCTCTCAGGCCAAGGCAGGTCTCTGGGCCTTCTGGAAGCCCAGGCCTACATGCTGTCTACCCTGGAGGCCAGGAAGTCAGGACCCATGGTCAACCCTGGAAAATCAGGAGGCTGGCTTGCTGTGCTGTCCCTGGACTCTCCTATCACCACCCCAACCCTAGTTCCAGGGTTGCCGTGCTTGACTGGAGTCTCCTCTCCTCAGGTGACTTGTTGATCATCATGGCCCAGATCATCATTGCCATCCAGATGGTGCTAGAAGAGAAGTTTGTCTACAAACACAACATCCACCCACTCCAGGCAGTGGGCATCGAGGGTGCGTGTGGGCACAGGCCTGGGAGCAGTGGCTGGAGGGCGGGTCTCCTGGGGCAGTGTGTGCTGTGAGACTCATAGAAGCAGGATACAGAGCGGACTGGGAACTTGATAGAGTGAATCTCCATTCCCCAGAGGGACAGGGGCTAGGTGAGAGGAGACAGAAGGAGAATGAGCAAGATGTACACCTCCTCCTCTAGAGGGAGTGACAGCCAGGAAGGGGCCAGACAGTGCACCCGAGCTTGGACCAGTTGAACTCGGGTACCTCATTGCTGAGAAGTTCTGAGACTCTTGGAGCCACAGCTCCTGACAGGCAGGGGAAAGGAAGGACTTCCTGACAGGGCAGTTGCTTGAGTTGCTAGGTGTGAGTTTGGAAACCAGTGAGTTGTCATTTGAGTGTAGTATCAGGTTGACATCGAAGCAGAGGGACAGATCCCAGGAGTGGGCAACAGGAACCTAACAAAAACAGTGGTTCAGAGATGAGCGTGCCTGTGGGCCGTGCTGGGAGGCCAGGCAGGGCAAGAGTGTGATGTGTGTGTTTGCCTCCCCCCAGGCTTCTTTGGCTTTGTGATCCTCTCTCTGCTGCTCGTACCTATGTACTACGTCCCCGCTGCCTCCTTTAGTGGAAATCCTCGTGGGGCGCTGGAAGATGCTCTGGATGCCTTCTGCCAAGTGGGCCGGCAGCCCCTGATCGCCCTGGCTCTGCTGGGCAACATCAGCAGCATTGCCTTCTTCAACTTTTCGGGGATCAGTGTCACCAAGGAAATGAGCGCCACCACCCGCATGGTGCTAGACACCCTGCGCACCGTGGTCATCTGGGCCTTTACCCTTGCCCTGGGCTGGGAGATCTTCCATCCACTGCAGATCCTCGGTTTCCTCATCCTCCTCATGGGCACTGCCCTCTACAATGGGCTGCACCGACCACTGCTAGCCTGTCTGTCCAGACGCTGGCGACTGCCTACCCAGGAGGGAGAGCAAGAGAGACTGCTGGGTGACAGCCGGACTCCCATCAATGAAGCCAGCTGAGCCCGCAGTGGGATATCTGCTGCCACCAGACAGCTAAGGCCGTGCAGACTGGTATGCTGTGAGTGTCCTGTCCCAAGGCCTCTCCCCACCCATCCCTACTGACCCCTCTGTGCAGCCGCTGCCAGAGAGGATGGGAGGACACCAGGTCCTGCTTTATTCCTGAGGCCTGGAATATTGGGACCCAGCCCCCACAGGCCCAGATATGGCAACCACTGTCAACCTCCCAGTTCTGCTGCACTAGAACAAACTTGTGAGCTTGGATGTCAAGAAGCTACAACCCTAGTATTTCTGTTACACACTAACTTATCATGGTAGATTATCTAGCTTATGAACCATAAGCCACAAAGAAGTCGGTGAACAGGTTCAAATCAGAACTAAGAAACTGTTCTGCAAAGTTGGAAGATATTCCTGAAGCCTGTCTAAAAAACCTAGTTTCTGGCTCAGCCATGGTTGCAGGCTCAGGGTGTGTACCAGGTCTGACTGCTCTGCAGCACAGATGTACATAATGTGTCCTTGGTGCCTTGCAGCCCCAGCATCCTGTGGGCCTCTCATTGTCACTAGCCTGAGCACACTGGTACCCTTCCTCCCCGTGGTAGGCTCTTTGGTATTTTTATTTTGGTTTGCCTTGGGTTTTTTGCCATTACATGGCCCTGGTTGTCCTGAAACTCATGATGTAGACCAAGCTAACCTCAAACTCCCAGAGATTCACCTTCTACTTCCTCAGTGCTGGAATTAAAGGTGTACTTCATCACGTCCAACACCTCCTTGATGTTTTGATGTTCTGTTCTTCATACCCCAAGGCCTCTCTGCCTGGGAAAGATTAAAGGGGAATTCCAGGCTGCCCTAGGAAATCACTTCATAAACCGTTTTGTTTTGTTTTGTTTTGTTTTGTTTTGTTTTGTTTTGTTTTGTTTTGTTT